AAATCTGAGACATACTGTGTTGGTCCAGATAGGGGCCCCAAGCATAGTTCTTATCGCCAGGTTTTGTACGACCTCCACCCTTTGCCTGCTCTGCGGGAAGAGATGAGCTAACGGCAGTGCACTGTAGTCAGTGAGTGAGCTCATATCTTGTATATAGTACAAGCAAAGTACTTCTTTGCTCGCCCCTGCACAGTGCCTCGTCATGGCTCTCACGGCGTTGAGTCTGAGTAGAGCATGGGATCTGACATATTCGGCCTGTTTCTGAAAGGTCAGCTTTTTATCTATGTAGATTCCCAAGTATAGGTAGGAGCCTGTCCACTCAAGTTCTGTATCCTGACTACATAATCTATTAATAGGATCCTCTTCAAGGGGGGCTCCTTGGCATGGTGAAGAGGCTCTTGGTCTGAGGAATTAGACCTGTCGGTCTTCTTCCTCAGACCGAACCTAATTACCCCCCAATCTCCCCTCCCCTATCCCATCCTCCCCATCCTCCCCTTTTTCCTTTCCTCCTCCTCCTCCCCACCCCTCCCTTTTGCCCTTCCTCTTTTTGGCCTTTGGGATTTCTTCCACAGGCGAGCTAGTTCCTAGGTAGGGGAAAGGATACCGGGGTCCATCCCATTCCGTTGAGGTTCTTGGCGGTGGCGTAGTTTGCCGTGGAATCTGGATCGCCTGGGGATGTCCCGATCCCTCTCCGGTATCCCGGAGTAGCTTTGGGTGTCTTTCGGGCGACGGGTGTATCTCTGGAAGCCACCTTTCGGATTCTGGGGGTGGTGGCCGAAGGAGGTATGCTTTGTGGCGGATATCCGGCCGCCCTCTCTTTTGTCCACCGAGGTAGCTCGGCAGATGCGAGGTTGCTATCCCGGATTGTTAGTTTACTAGCACGATGGGTAGGGTATGGCACGGGTTCCATGCTGCATCTGCGCTACTTGCTGTGCTGAGGTCCTCTTGGGCGCGGAGGGAGATTTCTGGCCCTTTCATTCCTCCTAGGAACTATCCCTCCCCGGTCCCCCCTTTTTTTATTCTTTTTTTTTTATTTTTATTTTCTTTTCTTTCTTTTTTTTTCTTAAAAACAAAAAGAAAGAAGTAACCTAACCATGGCAGCCCTAGTCCATGAACCTACTACCCCCAGGCCCCTTCTTGATACCGCACCCCGTTCTGACCCCGCCTCATCTTTGGACCACTCTTCAGACACTCCTCATGCCTCTGTACCTATTGCCGGTGCTGTTTCCTCACCCGCTTCAGGTACTGAGGCCTCGACTGACTCCTTCGATTTATCGGACCTTCACTCTCCTCTGACTATGCTTCCGGCCTCTCCCTCTACGGTGCGGCAATTTTCAAATCGCCGACCCGTTCCACGTCGGACCAACTCTGGTCCCACGCCTAAACGCCAATGACAATTACCTGCTGATGATACTTCTCCACCTTCTCGTTCTTCTCAGAAACGATCGACACGTCCTTCACTACCTTTCCACGCTCAGTTTCAGACTGAACAATGGACTAAATTCTTCACTTTACGACCGACTTCCTCTACTGCCTATCTTTCTGACCACAGTATTGGCAAGGCACTCCTACGCCATGTTGGTAAAGATATTTCTTTTCATGCTCTTAAGAGTGGTACGCGCATCATTACCGTACAGAATGCTACCCAGGCTCATGAGCTCTCTCGTCTTTCCCATATCGATACTGTTCCTGTCACTCTTGAAAAACATCATTCCCTCAATTCTTGTAGTGGTACCATCGTTCTGCCCCATACCATAGTTCAACAAAATTTCCAGACATGTGGCACTGACATTCTTGAACAGCTGGAACTCCAAGATCTCCCAATCCTCAAGGTAGACACTTACATTCTTCCTGCCCGCGGGCGGAGACGATACCCTAGCAATGTGGCTCGTTTAACTTTTGACAGCCGAGAACTCCCATCCTCAGTTTATATAGCAGGACATCGGTTACAAGTTCGAAAGGTGATCCCTACACCACAACAGTGTAGAAATTGCTGGCGATTTGGCCATCCAGCGAAATATTGCAGATCTATCGCCGAATGCCCAGTCTGTGGTGCCGATGACCATTCTAATACGTCTTGCAATCGATCTCCCTCTTGCCTTAACTGTCACGAGGCTCACCCTTCGTACTCTCGCCGTTGTCAAGTCTATTTAAACGAGCGGGAAATCCGTTACCTCAAAGAGACAGAAGGTCTCCCTTATGCCATGGCAGTTTCTCATCTCCGCCTCCAAGGGAGACTCCCACGTGTTTCTTATTCCCATGTTTCAAAACGTCCCCCCACTTCTGGTATCCCATCTTCTACACCCACCTCTGTGGTTACCTCTCCCATAGTCACTCCTGTATCTAATCCTTTTGCTGTCCTCGGCTCAGACGTCCCTACTTCAATGCCTCAGTCTGATCTCGCTTCTTCGTGTTCACTCTCACAAGCCTCAGTATCGACGAGACCTCATATGACACCTCCTCCCAATCGTCCCTCTACTTTTCAAAAGTCAAAAAAAGG